GAGAGTGAGGTGATAAGGGAAAACAGCTGATATGAACAAGTGGAAACTCGTGCAATCACTCCTTCTCTTCGCCTTAAGCACGTACAACCGTTGTTCGGTATGAAACTCCTTCTAGGGCATTTGCGTGTTTTCTCTTTGATTTTTCTTCACTAATAGGCTTCTTGCTACCTCGCTGTTACTACCTGAGCCGCATACTCATTAAATTTGAACGCGGGCGCTGCCTTTAAAAGTGCGATGTAGATCAGTGAGAGGCGCTGATCAGAATGCCTATTGAAAACTCTTCGCGTTGATTTCCGCACCTAAACTCTCACTCTGAGCAGAGCACTTGGCCGTCCCTGCCCATCAGTATACAAAGTAGGTTCAATTCAATTATTTTACAAGCAAAACTCCACAGAAATGCCGAAGATCGTGCCATCGTCGTTCTGAAAGTCACTATCGCTTGCGCTTTGTGTGAAGTCACTGGAATGCCATCATTCGCGCCTGAACCATTTCTCCTCGCCCTCCTAATGTTAGGGGCGCAACAGTTCCGTTTTAAATCAGTTAGTGCCGCGACGCAACTACAACACTTGCAACGCAGGGTGGGTCTTTTGCACTGGTCAATAGAGGCGACCGTCCACCTGTGCACCGAACATTTCCTCACCTGATCTTGCACATTGAACTCTTCAAACTTTCAGGGTGAAATACGTCAACATCTCAGAAAAATCAAGTTCTTCTTCAGTGATTAACCCCTTTCCAGGTCTAAGAATGAAAATTAAGTATGAAGACAAAATGGCACTTATTGATTAATAAATGAAACATCGGAGCTATATACGTTGAATCAAATAAAGGTTATGCCAAATGTAGTGCTGATACATATTCATCAACAGTAGTTCATACATAGTAGGAAGTTTAAGCTCTTCATAATTTGCAGCAGCGTTCATCACCGACGAACAGCGTCCACCAGCGTTCCGAGCGTCAGCTATTAGGGAAGTATAGATATGGATCTAGCGTCTGCCCAGCGTCTACCAGCGTCCACCAACAGACTGCTGGTGGCGAAAAGGGTAACAACTGTCTGCCATCCTCCTATCTCTCCTTACTCGGGCAGCTGTCTGTCACCCTCCAATCCCGCCAAACTCATTACCAGCAGTCTGTTACCCTCCTATCTCACCATGCTCCACCAGCTGTCTGCTACCACTTCCGGATGCTGGTAAACGCTGGTGAATGCTGCCGCAGAGTATGGACGCAGCTGAATTACGCACGACTATAATTTATTTGAGCTTCACAATCATTTGTACATGTCCATAGTTTTTCAAAACCAATCAACAAAAGAGATTTCTCTCAACAAAAGAGATTTCTCTTAAGCCCTGAGGCAGCGTTCAGACTTCGCGACGGCAGCGCTTTGGTCGCGCGTTCGATGCAGTCGAAAGCATGCGCATCGATCGCGTCGAACGCGCGACCGAAGCGCTGCCGTCGCGAAGTCTGAACGCTGCTTAATAGGACTCCCGCACAATGGATGAAGTGTTTCTCCCACAGTTTCACGGCCTATACACTTGGTTTTCCGTATGAGACTTTGAGTAAGGTAAACCGAAGGGTAAGAAAATCATCACTCCTACAACTAGTCAGTGAATGGCTCGACCTGAAAGTGGACTACCAAGCTGGAAATCCCAACATACGGCGAAACTGGGTAGCTGTAAGGGATAATGGTCGCATCTGACCGGGGAATTTTTTTTGATTGCTGGTTCTTCCAGTTTTACAAACACTATCCTTCTCCCCTTCCACTTTATCGAAGTCCGCAAAATTTCTACCACCCGCTATGGATAGTTTGCTTCGCCTGTCTGTTTCTTTGTCCATCCGGAAACTCGGTTCGCCCTGAAGAACAACTTCAAGAGGTCGGGTCAAGGCTGGGATGGGTAGGGCACGGGAGATGTAAGGAGCACACTTGACCTATGCCAAGCCCAGCCCACGGGCAGGTGTCGAAAGTTGGCGGAGCCGCGGAGAGTTTTTATTTGTGGTAGTTTCATCAACGAACTCGTGGTGCAGTTATAAGCATTTTTGCGCGCGCCAGTACTTTTTAGAGAGCCTGTTACAACTCCCGCTAACTACTCTTCTCAAGATCACCCACTCGCAAGCATGCGTACCAAACACTCAGCATCGTGCCTGTCCCAGTGCGGAGCCTGTCAAAACAGACAATACAGCGTACAAAGAAGTGGTTGCACCACTCTACCAACTTTTCATTTTCATTTCATTCATTACATATAATTACAATTTTTTCCTATACAAAAGTTTCATTTCTTGATCAACAGCGTATGTACAAACGAGGAAGGTTCCGACTCAGCTCACGGATACTTCCGCGGGCGACCTCGAGGACGTGGAGTATCACCGTGTTCCTAAAATTTTTTTGCTCAGAGAAGACAAGCTTCTATACTAGAAATTAAAAGCAATCATTCTTGAGGACACTGAGGCTCACTTCTTTAGAAGAATGTGAGGCCCTCCTAACCTCGATTCGCAAATTAAATGACATTTTACGAACAGCCCATTCTGACATGACAACTTCAAAGAAATCACAAAGGGCTGAGTTCATTACTTAGGCGGCAATCGATCGCACAGACAGCGTTTTTCCGGCGCGGCAGCAGCGGACTAGGAAAGTATAGGATATGATCTGCGTCTGCCTAGCAGGTCAACGCAGCGTCCATCGGCGACCAGCAGCAGACTGCCGCACGGCACTGGACGCGTGAGCCAATGACGTAGGAGGGTAAGCAGTGTCTGTCACCCTCCCTGTCGCACTATACCCTCTACCAGCTGTCTGCTGATAGAGAATAACGGTATGGCGCGACAATAGGGTATCAGCCAGCTGGTAGAGAAGGGCGAGACAGAAGGGTAAGGGATATCTCCACGATACAGCTGTCTGCTACCTTTCCACTCCATAATACTCTCACACTCCTGGTCACCGGTGAGTTACTAGTCCGCTGTGGAACTGGCAGCGATAGTATGAACGAGCCTAACGATATCGAACGCCATGTCAAAAATAGTTGCACGCGTTTGACCCTGCTCCACATAAGATTTAGAAATGCTGAAGGGATTCGACCCAGAAGGTGTAAACCATTCCAAAGCAACAGAAGTTTTTTTCCTGCATGTTTGCAAAAGCGGCAGATGGTCCTCGGAAAGAAGTCGAAATTGCGGAAGTGAGGTGAAGCTCAAGCAGCGGCACAACTAGGCCTGATGCTCCGGATGATCAAGCGATTCTTATCAAACAATGGCTTTTTGAGTCGCGCTGTTAATCTCTAGAAGCTTGCACTTGGAGCACATACTCAACGACCCAGAAAAAACGCTCATGATGGGTTAATTCACATAGATTATTTCGACCGGATTCTGCGTTGAGAAAAACTATCCAGTCGAAAAAAACGAATAAAGTGACAACTAACATCTGTTCTGGAAGAATATTCCTGTTCGAAACTTCTCCCGTCCTCTTCACTTGAACGATTTTTTTGTCCACAAAGAGTCTGATATGCCATCCTGAAAGCTACTGTTTGTAAGCGTCCAACAAAAACGGTCCTAGCTCATGTAAAAGGAGATGTTGAGGCATTGTTCAGTCTGTGACCTGGGTGAAATGAGAAACACAAGGAACTAAACGAGAATAGGATAGGCCCATGAAAGGATGCGGATCGACTCGGTTGAGTCCGTTATGTCGAGAATCGCAGAACGGCACGCCACCAGGATAAGAAACTTTTCATCAATACAAGGCCTCTCTGCCCTTCCCTCCGCCCCCCCCCTACCTCCCACTGTGGTCTTCTCCAACTTTCAGCGGGGCTCTGGCGCCCCGGTCGCAGAATCGCGTCAAAGAAAAGCACCAACGAGTCTCCCTCTCGCTACCTCTCTATCTAAGAGTACAGAAAATGAAAAATATGACTGCTATTTCCCCGACTCCCCTATGCGGCCACAACTCTGAAAAATGCCTCATATAAAAAAAGTAACAAACCGTCGTATCCCTTGTACAACATTCTGATCATATCGTGAATCGTTATTTTTGTACAGCACTCGCAGTAGAGCACCAACTGGTGGACCGTCTTAAAAGGAGTGGAAGCATACTTTTTGGTTACAATCAAGTCAAAGGGAATGTCAAAAATACTGTCGAACGAAGCGCACCTTCTTGTTGCCTTCTTGAAGGCACATGAGTGGATGTCCCTTCGCAGGGTGTGCACTTCTCCTCCCTTTGCTTACGAGGTGATACGTATGGTTGTTGTGAGGAAGTCTGGGGTTCGTTCACTTCCTTGACAACCATCTCCGCAACGGGAACCACCTTTCGCACCTGAAGTAGTAGTCGACAGAGGAATATTAGCTGTGAAGACCGAACTTCATCTGAAGCACCATCTGCAGATGATGGGCGTGTCAAAGCGCAGCGTTCGGCGCGCTTTCAGCCCATTCTCCAATACTGCTGAAGAGGACAAGTGACATCTGGTGGATAACGACTGACACGAACAATATGATACTGTCTAGTCGCTTAACGGAAGAAAAAAAAAGAAACGGATTGGCGCTGCGCCGACACGCCCCATTAGTACACTTAGCGGATTATATACAGTAAAACTACTCCGATACCTTTCCAAGAATAGTACGCTTTCACAACGACAATCTGTCCGTTGTCCCCTCTCCGCACTAGCACTTTCTGTCGGAGTGGAAGGCTTTCTTCAGGGCTGAAATGACTGTTTGAGCACCAGTCAACATTTCATTTGCTACCAATGATCATTCAAGCGCTTACTATAAGCACTCACTCATTCTTCACCTGACGAGTGGAACTGAACATCTTTTCGCTGTGGATCGACACCTAAAAATTCGAAAAACTAAAATGAAAACATGTAATTCGAAAATCGATGAAATGTCGGCTTAGGTCAGACCTTTTTTTCAACAACATCTATCACCCCATGTCGACTCTACTAACGCAACAACTTGTTATATGACTTAGATGTCTTACCTGTCCGAGGGTGCGTGAAGGAGTTGAGTTTCACTTTCTGACGCGTCAGGAGCGTTCAGTGCGATCGTCGCGACAGATCATCTGAAAATACCATGAAAACGTTATCTAACGATAACTGAATCGTTTTCTTTTTTCTTCGGTGAAATGAGCGGGTCTTCATCACAGCTTCCCAGGGGGGCTTGAAGGATAAAAGCCTCAAAAAAACAATGCTCACTTATACTTGGAAGGACAAAAAATAGTTCTTTGACGCTGATGTATCTCCTTTTTTGGGATATACACCGCTCAATTCTTAAAAAAGCATTCATAGAAAAATACCTTTGCGGTCCATATAATGACGTTCGCTGAGCCAGTCAAAGGCTGCCCGACTCAATTGTATTTTCTATCCTTTCTGGGACAATTGCGTATAAAACCTAATTGACCGCTGAAGGAATGGAATGACTGGGCAGGCCTACACAGCGATCTCGACATAGATTTTGACTAGCCGGAGGGGCCCGGTCGTGCGCTGCGTATAAGCGGTGCCCACTTCTCCTCCACTTCATTACCTCTCTCTCATTGCCGAAACAACGCGGCCGCTAACCTTTTCACTATACTAGAACTCTGATGTGCATTGCAACCCTTTACGACCGTTAATTTACAGCTGAGGATGCGCAGTCAAGGCCTTGCCTTTAAGTAAGCTGCGCTTCATGCGATGACATCGTTGCTCGAACAACGGGCCGCCCTCTTCAATCCACACCTCCAGCACGCCCTTCGCCTTTTCTACCAGGGAACTAGCCTGACTGTAAGCAGGTATGAACAACTTTCTCAACTAAAACATATCTTTAATTAAGAGATACGAGCGGGTGGAGAGCAACGATGGGGGAAACTGAATACTGTCTTGATACTTACTGACGAAAGCATGAAGACTGCCCGGTCCTTTGGTCGACGCATGTCCTCAAAAAAATTTGCCTACTTCTTTCTTTCAGGGCTGTTTTTTTTTCCCCGCTTGTGTAATTCCTAGATTGATACGAAAAAGGAAGCGCATTAGGCAGCGTTCTCAGATGTCATCGCGACTGGCTCAGCGCTTCAATCACGGCGTTCACGCCGATCGCATGGCCAGCTCGATAAGCATGCGCATCGATCGTCGAATCGCGCGACGAAAGCGACGTTGGCCGTCGTTTCGAAGTCTGAACGCTTGCCTTAGTAGGAGTGATGCCAGCACAGCCCTCGCTAAACAAGACCAGAGACGAGGGATGTGTACGAATTCGCTGTAAAATCCTTTTCGCTCGCACCTACTCTTTTATCTTGTGACCAGACTGTGCCCCAGCTGCTGTCGCCGTTGCCACAACAGCAGTAGGTGCAATCATTCTCACTCCAGAGTGTGATCGCAGCGTGATTAATAAGCATAATTTTGCATCAGAAGGGTAGCAATGAAAAAAGCATTACCATGAATATCAGCAACGTTTGTATCCACAACTTCATCCGCCGTGGATGACGATGGAGCACACTCAGGATCAGCCATGATGTCATCAAGAAGATGGGTTAGCCTCCCAAGATAGGCATTTGCTGTCTGGATACTGCGCACGTATTGCATGCGCTCCTTCAGCATCTGGAATCAATACAATCTCACCACCTGTATATGCAAAGAGACCGATCCTGCCACAGACATTCCATGCTAAAACAGCTTAGAATAGCACGGATTCTTTTTGAGGAGCCATGCAATACCCAGATCATTCTCACTCTGATAGAATGGCCCAAGGGCAAGAACGGCGCTAGTCCAATATGAGTCCGCTACCCAATACGTTGAGGCTGAGGTGAGTGTCACGACCTCGAATGACGTCTCATGACCATGACACGTCAGAGCCCGGGAATTTTGTTGTACGACAGGCACCGTTCCACACTATTTCTTCGATTTTCCTCGTAATAGGCAGCACTTAACGCTGAGATAATCAGAATTTCAATCAAAACCTACGGGGAGGTAATCCCGGTGTAAGTAAACCAATTCTCAGAAGGCGTTTTTCGCGTTAATCGGATCTGGTTCACCCCCCCCCCCCCACCTTCCCTTACCACTCCTCACTGAAGTGACATGTTGCAAAACGTAACTTGCAGACTTGTACTGAACTAGCGCCGCTAGAACAACAAACGCAAAAATTCAACTAACATCACAGGTCATTTCGAATTGCAACACGGTATTGTATGTTTCCGTGTCGAAAAAATCGCCTCGTTTTGTGATGTAAGATGGTACGTCCAACTGCTGAAATATCATGTTTTAGACAATTGCGAAACTATTAAAATAGAATAAATCCTCTATAGAACACATTTCGTTTTTAAGGACATCTGTAGAGGCTAAACACTACCTTCTCTCGGCCATGAAATTTCTCAGCGGATACTTCATGGGCTATCTGCTGAAGGACCTAAACAGTTCGCAATATTGAATAATTTACTTTCGAAGTCGTGACGAAGTATAAAAGTATAACCTCCGCCGCTAATAGTTCCCTTTTTGGGATGCGACACACACTCTACTTCCATTCAGAATCGTAGTGATTTATCAAAATGTGGCCTATACAATAACTTACGGGGGCTGTCGATGTACAAGTGGGTGTCCTTATTCTCCCAGAGGAATCCGGTACCAATTTACCTCCCGTCCCCAGAGCGCTAAGAATGGTTGGGATGATCATGGGCGGGCACTGGGATTTGCCGGCCGGACCACAGGCAAGCGTGCCCCCTGCTACTACAGCACCTCCGCACCCCCGGAAAAAGCCATGCATTAGGAAGACAAAGACAGACGAAGTAAAACGTGAAATGAGAGGAACGGTGTCAGAGAAGCAAAAAAATGGCCGCGCAAATAATTAAAAAAGGGCTAATGCCGTTGATCAAGCCAGTACGCAAACTAGGAGTGCGCCACACATGAACTTTCATTCAGAACTCTGATGTGATTAGGTCGTCGAGCGGAATCGAAAGTTTTAGTTAAGATTTAAATCGCATGAGGCCAAGTTTCCCACCAACTTAAGTGATCCAAGAAGGTCCAAGGCTCGGCTAGTCTCGGTGAACCTGGTCCAGACTATAATCTCGGACCATTCCTGAGCTTGCGAACCCCCTGAATATTATGCCCCTCGCTCTATCAAATTCTATCCTTTCAACAATAGCTCAACCCACACCTAGTGTAAGTGCTTTCTACAAAAAAAATCCGCAAAGCATAAAACAACCTTTTGACGCTGTTGAGCACGTGAAGTAGCAAATACGCTCTCAGGATTTCCTTCCCATTCGTCACTATCACCCGGATCACATTCGCCACGGCTATCGTAATTAAAGGTCATATGGAGCCAGACAACAGGCAAATTAAAAGAAACCTCGAAGCTAACAGTTCAAAAAGAGGGAAGTAAAGGCATAGCGTAAAAATTACACTGTTCTTGCAGAGAACAACCAGGAGGGATGTTGTTAATTTTTCGCATCTTTAGTGATGGATTTGCAGCTGAAAAAGGGCAATTTGGTTACGAATTGACACCAGGTAAGGAGCATTTGACGGAATTAACTCACAAATTGACGGCGGTTGATTCCTACGTTTAATCCTCTGTAGGCCTTTATCTTGAATAAGTTGCTGTGTTCGTTCACGCCTCAGAGCCAGATCGCGCATGAACACCTGAAAATGGAAACGATCACCTCCAACATTAACTTGGAAACAACACGGTTACCTCTGGAGTAAAGTATTCAACAGACTTGCCCGAGCCTGGGACTTGCTCTATCGGATCACCTGTAAGATAATACTATTACACACTTAATTTTTGCAGAGAGGGTGAAGAAACGTTGTGAAAGTAACACCAACTAGTGGTACGAAGTAAAATAGACGCAGTTCGACTTAGTGGGGGGGGGGGGGGCATCGAATGGTACCCAGCCAAGCCTGTACAGGCCACTAGCCTCCCTGTAGACCTGTGGATTCTTAAAAGTGACTCACTGTTTTGTTCCACAGCTTCACAAGAGTTAACAGGTCCCACCAAAATAAGACCTGTTATCTAACAAGGATCAGCAAAAGGAGCTAGCAAAAGTGCAGTCTGCCCCTCCCAAGCCGAATAGCGCCGAAAAATCAGTACTAGAAGGAGAATAGCACCAAAAAAAAGGACGCCGCTAATATACCATTGAGGAAAAGAACGTACCACTGTGATAGTAGTGATCGAGACAATAGTCGACCACAACTTCGTTGAGCTCGCCTCGGATGATGGGCTTAAATTAGCATAATGAAAATAAATTCTACTTCCACGCATTCTACTTCCATGCAAAATCGTAGTGGCTTATTGAATGGGATGTAGCCTATATAATTGTTTGCGGGCCAGCCGATGTTCAAGTCAGTTCTGAACCTCCCGGACAGATCGGTACCCATTTACAGTCTTAGTTGGCGTGGGGGAGCCGAACCAGGATTTGACCCCAAGGCCATGCGCATAGTAAGCGCCCGCATGCCTCTACATCACCTCCACCTTTAGGGAACATAAGAGAATTTTAATCTGTTGAAGAGGAGGATGAGGCAAGCAAACACAATTCCTACAAGGACATGTTAGGTCACGAATGAGTGGGAGTTAGTTATGGTTGTCTAGGCCCCAGTAGGTTGCCTCCCGGATCGGATCCGACCTCGGTGAGTCTGTCACTTCGTTTTGCGTTGCAGATTAGTGCCAAGGTAGACACTTGGCAACCCAGAGCTGTGTGATCTGTGTTTTGTTTGTTGTTATTGACTGTTCCTTGCTTGGCAATAAATAGTGTTGTTGACCAACTCGAGCACAGAAGTACAAAATCGTAGACTACGAACTTGTGCACCATTCCACTATTCTTTGTTACAGTGTAATTTAGTCCACTACTTGATGAAGTGCAAAGAAAACCCTCACCCGCCAGTCGAGAACACGAATAAATGCTGTGCAATGCATTTCCGGAACGGCAGAACGATTTTGGTTTTTAGCGTGGCGACTATCACTCTGGCACAGATAGTACATATGTTCATCATGAAGACATAATTTCTTCATACGGTACTTGCTGTGATACTGTAGTTCACGAATCCATTGCTGAAAAAAGAACTTCACTGAATCATTATTGAAAAAATCGCGACCTTTGCAAAAAATGGTAGCCCCTCAAAAAATTACCTTCAACATTCGCATTCCAGGATCATCCAAATGTAAAATCGGTTTATGACAGACTGTTTCTTCTGTTGTCGATTCAAAAAGAGTATGTTCCAGTAACTGGTCTTGCGAATGAACTGGCTGGAGTGCTTTTCCAAACTATTGCATTTACAGCTCATTGCACATGGTCTGAAAAAGAAAACTGCTAAGCTTCTTAAGGAAGCGGGTGAACAACGAGTATTACTGTAAATAGGCTGGAGAGCGTTCATTCTTGGCGATTTCAGCGCCTCAGGTAAACACATAAAACATGGTCAAAAGCAGGAGTAATGATCAAAAAACACTGTCACAATGCCCAATCTATACCGATCATTTAGGAAAGAAAAAAAAGCCACGACAAAGCTATGGAGAAGGGCTAACTAAGTTGTGGGGAGGGTCTACGGAATAAATGGGGAGTATGGTGGTGGAAAGCAGAGGCCCGCCAATGATCTTTTATTAGTTGAATTAGTCATTTCATCAGTCCACTGATCGGCAGTAGTGCCCCCGCTCGCCTCAACTTCTCGGTAAGTGCTGCGCGCGCCCAAGTCGCAAAGTATAAACGCGCTCCTAACGACTTTACCGGCGATAGGTCCCCAAGACTTGCCAAAAGTGGGACTGTAAAACAAGTACTTTGTGAGAAAAACTCACCGGAGGAAACGGTTTCGTTGGTCGAAATTTTACCGTACGATTGCTATCGCTAATTGGTCGTGGATTCAAGTTTGTGGTTTGAGGAATGGTTCGCTGATCGTTGGCGAATCTTTTACGATATATCTAAAACTCATGGGTAGTTATGGAAGCAGTCACTTTAGAAAGAAAGCTCAACTGTATTGCGAATGAATCCTACTTGAGACATTATGCTCACACTATAGGTGATCCGCCAATACCTATTACCATTTCACTTTGAATGGGGACACTTTTCAATATAAAATCGGACACACCCTTACATGAGGCACGATTGATAACCATACCACACTAGGTATGCTGCAAGCCCCGCCCCAACACCCCCGCCCACTTTTGCGCGGTCACGGTTTTCCAAAATGTTTTATGAAATCTGCTTCTTCGATTGCACACACACTTCAATTGAAAAGGATTGGTACCGATGCAGATCTGACTCCGCCCACTTCACAATCAAGTGACGTAAGTTCTGAATTTTTATAACTTTTTTAACGTCTTTTTTCACATTCAATCTTCACAAAACGAATATAGGCCATGCATTCACTCACTAGCACACTAGTCCCCGCATCTCTGACCAGGTCCACTTCGTTTTTCTGCGAAATTTGATTTATACTTCAAATTTCACTTTTATGAGCTGGTGAACATACGGCCCGCCACTTAACAGAATCTCGCGCCACTTTCGTAGGAGCCCGGCCTCACTTTTCAAAAATGACGCCAGTATCCGCGTTGCTCCTTGACCGTACAGCAGTATGGCCTTTCACTTCACATAGAATGAAAAAAGGAAAGACCAGGAAAAAAGGGAAGCTTTGTTCCGCATGACTTGTGAGACCATAACCTTTCAGTACGGTCACGCCGTGCGCGATCTGCCAATCATTTTTTGAAAAGTGTGCGCGGCTTCTACAAGTGGGCGGAGCATTCCATTAGTTGGTGGGGCCAGCTTGTCGCGCATAAAAAAGTGACAAAATTGCCAAGAAAAACCCAAATTCGCGAAAACGATAGTGGGCCCGATCATAGGGACGAAGGACTAAGTGTCTGTGAATGCCATTCCATATTTTTTCCGATGATGAATGTGAAAAAAGACGTCACTGAAAAGTTATAGAAAGTTCAGAGCTTGCGTCACTTGATTGTGAAGTGGGCGGAGTCAGATCTGCATCGGTACCAATCCTTTTCAGTTGAAGTGTGTGTGCAACTAGCAAAAGTGAAAAAAGTCGAAGAAGCAGATTTCATAAAACATTTTGGAAAACCGTGACCGCGCTGAAAAGTGGGCGGGGTGTTGGGCGGGGCTTGCGTCCGATTTGACTGGAAAAGTGTCCGATTTGGTTTGAAAAGTGTCCGATTTGGTCTGAAAAATGTCCGATTTAAAGTGAAAATTGTATATGACTGGGCCTGCAGCTGCAGTAGCATGCCACTATCCAGCTGCCGCTTCCTGAACTCGCCAGCACTATCCCCAAGGTGCAGCACATGCTTCGATATCAAAATTCTTCGGAAAGCGAAAACAGAAGGGTAGAAGAACAAACTCAGAAACTGAAATGAAAACCAGCAAACAGCGCATTTTCTCCGTGGTTCAGGAGTGCCTAGTCATGGGGCCAGGCACGGTTGTGGGGGACGGCGACCGCATCAGCACTCTCCCTGCCTCTCTACCGCCCTTTTTCGAGCGTAGAGAGTGGCCTGTTACTGCAGCTGTGGACCCATTCATCTCGTACATGGAAAGGAGCAGAATCCAAGGAGATGAGGTTACAATTTGACCTTCAACCAGATGACAAAAAGATGACGTAATAAGAAACTCACAAGATTAGCCCGATGATCTTCAAGACTAGAACGGAAGAGTTTCGAAAGACGGGAAGAGGTGTACAATATCCGTATGCTCATTCATCACCTTATCAACTGAAAATACATGAAATGACCCGAAACAATATTACCAAGTGGAAAAACCCTTGAGAGCTACTCACGATATGCATGATAAAGGGCGTCGAGAGGTATATCGGTGAAACTCTGCTATTAATCTGAGATCGTATACGGTAATTCGCAATCTGATCTGAAATCGTCATGTGAAATCAACCTCAGAGGCTGTTCCAAGAGTCTTACCTGGATGTCATCTGGACGACAATCAGCAGAATGTGCATCTCGAACACGTAGTTCTGTTAGATTACGAGACGTGCGAATTGTCCCTCTACATGCCGTATTCGCACATCGCCAAAGGTTCCAATTATCCGGATTCAGCTGAAAGTATGGGACTGAGTGAACGGTTTAGTTGGCTAGTGAAGAAATGTTGCAGTAATGTAACTTACAAATCCATTTATGTTGTAAAGATGCCCGTCAAAAGCCAGCTGCTTTCTACATCTTTTTGAGAAGCATATGTACATTTTCGAGCCATTTGTAAATACATATGTTCGACTTAACAGATCCAACAAATTCACACACATTTCTGCCCCAATTGACGGGGAGTTATCAGCGTAATACATCTGTCGCCCTGGAACAGAGAGAACGTTGGGTTGCGTTCATACTTTGCGTCAGCGTACGGTCGAGCACACACAGCGCCAGCGGCTAGGAAAGTATGGATATCGATCTGGCGTACGTCAGCGTAGAGCAGCGCTTTCGCGGACCGTACTGCTCGAGCTCAAATTGCCCGCGAAAAGGCTGGCGTTTGCTGGATCTATATCCACACTTTCCTAGTAGCTGGCGTTCGCTAGATCGACTTCTTCCTCCCTCCTTCTTTTCCTTCCTTCCTTCTCTGATCCCTCCTCCTTTACCTTCTCCCTTCAACTACTGGACTGGTAGATGCCTCGTGAACCCTCGCAGCGAGAGCACGTCTGGTTGACAACAGCCCCGTAACCCTTAT